TTGGTTTGCCCAGGTATCGCTAGGCTGCCTCATTGTTGCGAGATCTCCGCCCCAAGCAGTGACAAGACGGGCAATCTCCGAGGCCCTGTGAAGCATGACCCGTCACCAAGGTCGATATCTGTCGAGCGGACCATCTGAAGGCGTTCCAACGCGTCTGAACGTAGAGTACAGTATGCAACAAGCAATCGATTTGCCAGACATACACCGACTCGCAGACTGCTTGTCCGAAGCGAACCGGAGGGAATTACCCAGGACTCGCGACGTCGTCTGCGTCATTGTTCAGGACCAGGATATACTACAGATGGAACCGAATCCGAGTACCTACGCGCGATGTATTCGATGTATCTGGAGATCGCTAGAGCGGGAGTAATGGATTGACGACTCTCGACCATTCTTCAGATCTCCTGATGTTGTCCACCTCGACATGGATGACACTGCCGGACGGCAGTGACATTGCATGGTCGTCGTCATTCACCGATAGCTTTGATAGACCCTTCTGGGTGACCCAGGTCTAATGACCGTTTTCGCAATGTTCAGTAGCTTTGGGCGATTGGCCTTGGCGAGGCATCGTATTAATCCAGGAATCAGCTGTCTTAGGAGGGCTGCTGCGACCGTAGTCTGGCCATAATATGGATGACGCCGCAGAACCAAACGCACAAATTACGTGCCAGTGATTGATCCATGTGACGCTCGGGGTGCTTCGCTGACGCAACGGCGCATGGTTTTCAATTGACGCCGGATCAATGCGGCACTTTTGCGGTGCACATTGTGCCGATCGTGTCGGTGTCTCGACGTGTCCGCCGGAAATGTTGAAAGCAGTCACAGCACCTCCCTGTTGAACTGTCTTGGTTCGGGAGCTAGGTCGCTGCTTTCAGAGACACTCCTTCGGCTACTAATATCGGTTCAATTATAGGACTGTATACTGACTGCATCTAGTGTCAGCGGCAGCGCGACTATGGCCTGCTCTCATGGCACTGCTGGGATCCTGCTTTGACTTGGAGGCACGCCACCGTCTTCAAAGTTCTGCGATGAAGGGTCATGGTGGTCAAAGTTGGGATCACTCTCGTTGGCAAAGTTGACCACGGAAGTCCTAAGTACTGCGGGCTCTTACCCACCCCCCTGCTAGCCATGACATTATTACCCCGGATGTCTGACTGGAATTGCTTTTGTTGGGTGGTATTGTAGCGGGCTGGGGAGGGCTGGCCAAATACTCAATATGTCCTATGGACCTGTGATTATCTCGCTAGCACAAGAGCCTGCTCAGCACACTGACAATGCCACGATGGGAGCAGGCAAACGGAGTACGTTGTGGACTGCATTTTTGATGAGCGTGATCCTCTACGATCGGCTGCAGGCTGTTTAGTTTTCCTAGGATCTCCTGTGGCGATGGTTGCTCTCGGGTTTCCTTAGCTAAAGTGATCATGCTATTCAAAAAAGGCTTCCAAAGATTGGGCTGGTAGATTGGCGCGTTTGGTGTTGTCAAACTCCAGCAGTGCTGTAGCCTCGGTTATGATTTGAGTGGCATGCTCGAGGTGGTTCAGGGGCTGGATCCCCAACACTGGCCAAGTATTCCTACCAACCATGACTTCCTGGGTATTGGGTTGTAGCCAAAGGCCAAGTTAATGTATTGAACCAGGATTGAGGTCAATTAAGCTCATTTTAAACGTGAAGTTTCAAAAATTCGCTCTGAGCTGAGAGTAGTTGTTTTTTGAGAATGAATGGGTCACGTGTGTGGCGGATAATTATAGTTCCATCCGATCATTTTGGGCATCAAAAGACGCCCCGCTCTCCACCCCGCCATCGACATTCTTGCCCCTTGGGCTTCGAAACCAGCCTGTTTGCTAGGTAAGATTCAGCAGTAGGATCAGTTTGGGCTTGGGATTCTCTAATGATAGCAATTAGTCTCCAGCTACCACTCGTATTTTCCTCGCACACGATGTCCCCAACAACGATAAACGAAGATGCATTTCTCAAGTTGAAGGACCTTTCGGCGTGGGTTTCCGACACGAAGGAATTCAAAAAGGAACAAGAGAATCTTTTCAGATGCGTGGATGAAGGCCGTCATGTCAAAGTTGCTCCTTTACTGGAAGATTTAGGGTTCGATAAGATCAAGGTGATTTGGCTCATCTCAGTTTCGGGAATACAACTAAGATGTCCACAGGGATATGGATGGGCCTAGGTTGGATATCAAAGATCTCAGGTTTCCTAATACAAGAAAAGCGATCTACAAAGTGCCCAGCAAGGTAATACGACAGCCAACAATGGGATAAGGTACAAGGAAATTACCCCTCAGAGAGTAATAACATCATCTTAGTCATATAGAATGCACCTGACAATTACGATGTGACACGCGTCCCTACTGCAGACATTAGGGTGAGTGCATATACCCCATTGTTACCGAGAAACCGTATTATTAATGGATATTCACAAAAGCATCGCTGGCCATCAGCTGTGAACCTCAAGCATATAGCTTCAAGCCTAACGATTGGGTGCATGAGTAGCAGCCAGGATGCCATGCATGTTCACTAAAGGTATTGGCAGGCTGGGACTCTGTATGCTTCAGTTATCGCAATAAAAATTAGGGGAAAGCAATGATCTTAGTGGGTGATCATGCCTGGGATGAAGATAATATAACATACATGTCATTTTCAATACACTAAGAACATGATGACTGCTCTGATATATGTCACGCCAAGGTCTATCCAGAGCATGCAAGGAAACATTTCCAGGAGAGGAAGGAAGAAAGTCCGATAATTGTATACTCTGTCTTCCCTGATGCATGGCCACTAGAAAGAAAAAGCGAAAAGCGAAAATTAGAACATAATTTCTTTCTTTCTGTTGGAAACAGCAAACCAAATCCTTCCGGGCTATATGGAAGTGTTCTTGAGTTCCTCCCAAGGTACACTGCACTTCACAAAGTCTAGTATGATTTGAAGTAACTGCCGGTCGACCGGGATCATGCGCATAGATTTCCTAGAACTAACCTAGTCACATATAGAATTGTCCTAGAGCGGTATATCACACTGTTACACTCAAGGCTTGACGGTTATGCAGGGAAATAAAAGCCCTCTTTGCTCGCTAGTACGGGCAAAGGGACTGGATCGGAAGGCCTATTATATTTTCAACACCCATCTGCCTATTTCCATGGCTGTTCGACAGGCTACAAGAGTTTTGGACGATATTCTTTCGAATTTACACGTCTTAAGTCTCTCAAGGCTCTTGCTTATACTGGCAGAGAATCTCTATCCTGGGAGGAGGCCCCGGTTCTCTCGTGAGGAACAGAGACCGCATTGGTGGCCTACTGAAGTTACATACACCCACCCGTATAAAATGACAAAAAAAGGTCAGTGTACTAAGAAAGAAGCATTTCGGGTAGAGAACTAATTGTCACAAAGATCGCTTGAGGGTGATAACTCACATCCTTAGCCCCTGTGATTTGGTTGACGACGTGGTTCTCAGAAATCTCCAGCCAACGAGGAAAGTACGACACGGGGATGTTAAACTTCTGTGTAGCATGCTAAAGAAAAGAGGAGACACTAGTAGGTATCAAATCGTCTTGGAAGTTGAGTCTCTTCCTAAAGAGTATACAGCACGGATGAGCAAGAACCATTGCCACCTTGATTTTCACGTTACTGCCTTACGACTTCCAAACCAAGAAGCAGCCGTGCCAGAGAGGATCAGTGTGGACTCATTACTCTGTGACATGAAAAATGGGGCTTAAAGGCATTTTCATGCCGAGGCTCCTAGATTGGTCTTGAGAACGAGATCTAAAGAGTATCTATGCCCCTTGTAGGTCAAACCTGACCAACCAGCTTGTGTATACAGTATCATCCCCGAGGATTGCATGGATTGATTGGTCTTTTAGAGACATAGTTCAAATTATCCAAATTTGAGCACTCCACACAATACCATGATCAGCTAGCTCATTTTGTTTTTCCTTCTTTCCCTCTGCCATCGCACTAGCCGCACGGTTAAGATACTTAAAAGAGACCTTTTCCAGGAACGACCGAGGGGCATTCTCTTAAAAAGTTAGATTGGTATGAAGGCGCAGAGGAGGAACTAGCTGATTCTTCCGGACCGCTTTATCGACTCAGTTTCGCAATGCACGCTCTCCATCGCGGTGATGATCTTGCCTCGCGTCTTACCAGACATACGGCTGTAGTTGGCGACCTGAAATGGGATCCTTAAGGTTTTCCTTCCATGCTAAATTTTGCCGATAGAATCCCACATTTTCGGCCATTCGATGCAATTAATTAGGGAAACTATTATGTACGGCTACATCTACTAGGTGTGCATATCTGAAGCGCATCTTCCCTTTCCCCTTTCCCCTTTCTTTTTCATCGTTTACTTTCGGCAAATCAGCCATGCGGGACGATATAGGCTCGTTTGAACGGGAGCTGGATCATCTTCAGAACATCTCAGGTCTGCGACATTCCCAGAACCTGCCCAGACCCCCGGACCTGGCAAGAACTATTGGATTCGAGAAATCATCTCCTGGGGTGCTATTGGGAATATTTGCGCTGTTACTTGCATGGAAGAAGATATCGACATGAAGTCGGTAGATGTTGGCGGCCGCCGGAATGGACGAACCAAATTGAGGCCGCTGTTGACATACTACATCAGAACGATATTGTTTGGGAAGAGACTAAAGCAGAGATTGTTTGTTCTATGCACAGGGAGATTCTTGGCTTGTGGACTTCGGTGGCGGCTTCACGGAAAGATGGGTTTCCAGTGAGCGGGAAGAGACGAAGGAAGGCGGGCTACAAGGACTTAGCAACATAGAATACGTTTCTGGGTAACTAGTGTGTTTGGCAAATTCTATAGCTGAGTATGCCAGCGAAAGGAAGTGGAAACTATGCTATCGCTATATAAATCACACATCTCTTCCTAAAGATCACACAACCGACATCCTCGGACTGTAAGATCCCTGAACATTATCGGCCTTCTCTTTCTTTCATGACTGAAATGAGCTACATGCCGGAGCAGAAATATTTGTGCACCGCTAAGGAGTGTACGAAAAAATTCGCTTCTATCGGGGATTGGCGTATCCACGTGGAAGACTATTCCTTCGATGCCGGGCGCATATGTCTCTACGATAGCTGCGGTTTATTCATCCCAGCCAGCTCCAATGAGTCGCTTGCCCATGGGTCTCATCTCTACCTCAAGCATCATGTCGAACCGTGCCGCACGGAAGAACTGAGAAAAGCCTTTATCGATAAGAACTTTTGCTCTGCTCCGGAGGGAAGGATGTGGTGCTCTCTTTGTCGCAAATTGCTGGAATTGGACAACCGTGCGGAGGTCCTCGACCATTTCCAAGGGCATATCCGAGATGGATCTCAATTCAAGATCCCTGGGCAAACGAAATATCCAGACACCAACCGAGCGAGGCAGGCAGAAGTTGAACCATCGGCCAGATCCGCAAACGAAGGCAAAGATGATGTTGTCGATCTTACTGGGCGCGGAATTCTTGTATGGATACCTCCTGCTTAGCCATACCGAAAGTTGGGGGCTTCTGCTTTGTAAGGAGGATTGGGGTCGGATAGGGTATGTAGAGGGGCACAGAGGCTCTTCCTGCGGCGGGAAAGGATGTGGTTCGGGCAGCAGGACCGTTCGACGCACGCTAACGCCGGACATAGCCTGGTAAAGTGGCTGGTTGGAGTGCTCTCACTTGGCGGTAGGCATTGTGAGAGGTACAAGGTCTTCTACAGTCAGTGTTTCTTGACAAAGGGGGCATGGATTATGGTATTTGTGCCACAGGTTTACTGTGTGGATGACTAGGAGTGATGATGAAAGTGCACCCGAGAGGGTTTAGTGAGATAGCTCATAGTATTAACTGAGGATGGATTGGGACGCTCGTGAAGAAATTGCCCCCTGCTCCCTAGTAAGAGATCTGCTACGGCACATGGCGGGTTCCTTCGTCCCAGAAATGGCACAGTGCCCCCAGGGTTCGTCAGAGTGCCAGCGAGATTTGGTGCCAGAAAAGGAATTTGCCATGAGATCAACTCAGACGCTCCAGCTCCATTGTCAGTTGACTGGCGATTGGTCCTTTGAAAGAGCGGTCCTGCCTTGTCCAAAATTTGCCGTAATTCGGTAATTGCTTATGTGATCTCCTAAGAGGCGTGCCATTCTCGCACAGGAGACTTCCCCTTCTTAAGTGGGTGCTACGTCTACTCCAAGGTCAAGTTATTACAGCCCGTTGGTACGATGACCCCAGAATTAAGATGACCACAGTCCCAAATCCAACTTCACCTGGTCAACATGCCGTCGAGGACACGAACTGCAACCAACTCGCCCTGTATCGCATCCTATTGCAAGTCTCCAAGCTACCCTATACATGTCCTCTGTGCCTCCACGGGTATAGTCGTTATGATAACCTCTACGAGCACTTCAAAACCACGAAGGAAGCTCAGCACATGGCGCTGAAGAACCTGTGGTTTCGAAGTAAATGCCCAGTTTGCAACGAACCCGTGTACCAAGTGTTGCAACATCTGGCACAGCGACACCCGGTGAATTACCAGAGTCTGATGAAGCAAACCCTGCGCTTACGACACGAAGTGAATACCACAATTCCCAGATCGCCAGCGTGTTTCGAGCATATATATCTTTTCCCTCTTAGGCGACTGGACCGTGTTGTCAGCTTACCGACGAAAAAGCAGAAACGGAAGCCACGGAGGCGGGATGCCATCAGCGAAATGGCGGGAGACATTGGAAGTGGATCAACATCTCTGAAGAGGCGACAGACAGAAAATCTCGCCCTACGAGTTGACGTCGCGAACGATCAATGCTCTCGCCTAGATGGGGTTGCTCCTTCTTTTCATACATCGGGGCTCCCTGGTCATCGTACGGTTCAGCTAGATGCGGCTCACCCTCCTTCAGTGGGAAACACTTTGGGTATGGATTCACCCGCATCAATGGAAGAGAATATGAAGGCTAATAAGCATAGGCCATGAGTTCTACGGAGAAAGCAACCTAGTGCAGAGCGCGCTTGCCGGCCAAACCCATTCATTGTCCTTCCCATCCCCGGCGCCTCTTCCCCAAGACATTCAAGAACCGAGAATTGATCTGTCTGCTCGTGGTTACATGTCGCATCTAAGTACAGAATATCAGGTACCATGGGAGACGTTTGTTTCCATGGACATTCATCAAGAAGACACTGGGGATGGCTGGTAGGTCCCGCGGGGTTGATTTTCGGTCCCGCGACCTAAGGAGACTCTGAAGGCTCAAATATGACTTTGACAGACGTGGGAACAACCGTCATTAGAACCAATCGCCCGGTCAGACTGACATCCCTGTCCGTATACACGCCGCGTCCAAGCTCTAATGGCTTTCCATCGAGTAGCGAAGACTCGTAGATCAGGACTGGGAAGTGGAGGCATGGGAAACGGGCCTGCAGTATTGTCTTTCCCATGACCCTCGAAACTATTACGCGCACTGGCTACGGTAATGTCAGGAGACGGCCCCGAGAGAAAATTTGAGTAAAGGTCGGGTACTCGCGCCGTCACAGACTAGCGAAAGTATAGGTTTCAGGCGGTCCAGTGCATCAGAGTCGAGCGGGCTCTCGACGTATACCTCGTCCTTGGGGAGCCCTCTGAATGCCTCCATCTCGAAATGCTCCTGCAGGCCTGAGATGACTTGTTCCACGGTGCGTGTATTTGTAGATAGTCGAAATGTTGTTAGGTGCTGAGGCATCTTGGGGTACGGAGCTTGCTTGATGAATGACTCGCTGACGGTCGCTCCAGGCCGACAGTCTACCCCGCTAGGTCATATGCTAGTCCACATATGACAGTCACATCGCATCCCCGACAGAATGCCAACCATATTGAACACACGCTATTGTCGTTGGCCAGCACAAATTGACTGACTCATCTGGCCATCTCGCTCGGCTAACTGGTCGAGCATCTGCAACTGTGTCGAAAGCGTCTGACTTAAGGACCAACACTGATGAAGGACTACGGTAAGGTCAGCAACGCAAGCAGCGTGTAACCTGACGGGTGACCTTACTGGAGAGAATCTCTTCTTCCCAGACCCCGACCTCATAGTCCACTAGTCCATGCTTTTCTATCCAGTCAAAGATAGCAATCAGCTCCTCACCAAAGATCTCTATTTGTGAAATGCTCAGACATGGGTCGGGAAGAGGAATGTTCGCCGTCATCGAAGCCCGAGTCAAATCCTTCTGCTTCTGCCAGACTGCAAGACAGCAGATATTGAACTCGCTCCAGAGCCTGAGTTGCCTAGGATGAACCGCAGCGTCGTCGTACAGAATGCCTGATAGAAACGGCGTGAGCCCATGGTCAGTGAAACAGTCCAAAACAACACATATAAGCGATAAACCTTGAGACATACCGCGCACTACTGCATCACTAGTAACCCAGAGGAGGAACCTAATATGATCTCTGCTGCCTCGGCGGTTCGGTTGTGAAGACACAGAGAGAGAGCTTCATCCCGATCCCTGCCGAATTGCCTCAGGATGTTTTCCAAGCAGATTTCGGCCGGAGAACCGTCTTCTATCGTCCCCCGTTCGTCAATCTCTTCTGCTGGGATTGAATACCTCACATAGTCAGCGTCTGGGGCGTGAATGCGTAAAACGTCCGTGGAAAAGGTATCAGCTTGGTATATGTGGTCGCTCCCGTCGTACAACAACCTAAGAAGGATAGCATTAGCTGAGGCCAACAGAGCGACGGATGCCAGTTTATTTTGTACATCAGTAAGTTTTTCATGATGATGTACTATTCCCGAAACCCCCTTAAAGACATAGTGGGAGTGAGTGTGGCCAGGTAGGACGTTGGTGAGCCTTGCTTACCGACGTGGTGCAGATTGGCAGAGAGTGGGCATATGTAGACAGGATCCTCGCTATGTTGATGTCGCACACGACGCCTTCGTGACCTGAGTGTCTTCCATAGCGCAATCATCCAAGATGAACCATGATTCTGAGTCAATATGGATCAAGTGGAGCTCGGAAGGACTTGCTTGCTCTTTCGACCACGGATGGCGCGAACTGCACCTCCTGGCAAGCACACTATGGTTTACCGTCATCTGGTAGTGGGGAAGGAACGCAGCCGACCACCACTCTACACGTATCATGTAGCCCAATGTCTGGCATTATGGATGGGATAATGATAATCATTCTATCTGCATGCGTGAACGCCACCTCTGTGTAGTCATTCGTGTGTCTCTGTGGTGATGTAGGTGCCATGCTACGGCACAGACGTGATTTTATTCCAAGAGACAACTTACCAAGACTGGCTGGTGCTCCAGGATACATCCACACCCATATTAGCGTTCTAGACCGCCCAGCAGACAGACCCGCCTCTCGGTATTCTTGCCTCGTTCGACTAATCGCTTCCAATGACGCTCAGACAGCAAGTGTTGTCGTACGGATAGTCCGTGGTTGTTGGTTGCCCTTACGCTTCCCTCGTTTTGGTTATATCTTATATTTGGTCTACAAAATATAATGGCTGCAATTCCTCTCGGAAGCTGCCGTGATAACTTTCACACTCTTCAATAGCCGTTTTCGTCTGGATCCTGCGTTGGCATCTGCCCTACTCCATGGCTACTCCGTCCGATGCGCCCTTGGCTGGGGCTAGGAACCCCACTGCCACCAAGCTTTTGTTCCTCTGCCGCGAATGCTATCGAGACGTTGGGCTGTAGTGTTTGGCCATCGAAGTATTCGGCTCACCCAGAGACCGGAGACTCCATGCTTCTGCTGCGAAAAGAATCACCAAGTTGGAGCAGTCGTGAGCTTGCCCAGATAATCTAAGGCTACTTGCGGCTAATATTCTCTCAGGTGCATGAAACCTATTTCGACGAGGTCAAAAAGGCCTAGCATATCTTTCTGCAACTAGAGGAGCAGCGCCGCGAACTGGAAAACCAAATGCTAGAATATAGTATGTTGCCCAGAGGATTTGAATGCATGTACTGACTTGTCAAAGGTTCCAAGGAGGACCACTAGGTCTCAGCGAGAATTGTTACTCCGTGGCAACGGATATTTCCCATCCCATCCAGGGGTTCGGGGCCTCGTTCATGTTGTCATAGACGCCTTCAGGATGTGTGCGTCATCCAAGCATGACTACTTGGATTAAGTTTGAACAGTAGGCATGAATTTCTATGATATAGCAGCTGCGAGCTTGAAATGTAGCACGTAAGTACTTTGTAGATCTTATCTATTCTTGCATCTAGTCCAGGGGCTCATTGTACACTGCGCCTGCGTTTACCATGATTTGGTAGTGGGGTGAGGCCTTTCCCGCCCATTTGGTTGGACGCTTTTATCCAAACTAACTTTGGTTACCTCGATCTGGAGGCGGCGTTTGTGCAGGGCTCTTATTTTTGCCTTGTTCTTCCCGGAACAACTCCGCGTGGTATGCTTACAGATTCGTATCAGATCATGGCTCCTCGAAATTAGCGATGCAGGTGGGAATGTCCAAGAACGGAACAGCCATTGGGGGAAGCGTATCACAACCGACCAGGAGGCTTCCATCCATGAAGGGCCGGGGGGAGCTCGCCTACAAATATCTCGAGCCTTCCATGACCTAGGCCTCATTCACGTTTGTTTCCCTGTGCGCTATGTCGATAATATGTTCCGGTGTTCTGTGTTTCGCCAACCCCTGCGATCTCCTCGCGAGAGGATCATGCCTTGGCTCTCGACTCCACGGTGCATATAATACGCCAGCCTTGCGCAAGTGCACACCGTGATTTGGCGGATCCTGCATCGCTATGTTACTCCCGCTCCAAATTTCGAGCATGGCCTATAACTTCCGCAGTGAGGGACTGGATTCCGCTCTCAATCCCAGTGAGTTTACGCTGCCAATTGTCGACCGTATACTCACCGAGACGGTAGGACCTGTCCCGACTGTTATGCTCCGTCATCTAAAGACCCATCTTCTTCTCCTTCCAAGACCACGTACGAGTATTCACGCTTTCACATCCTCCTCCTCCTCCTCCTCCACCATCACCACCTTCACCCCCGCTGGGAAACAATTGCCTGCCCTATGATTTTGGGATCGCTATACCCACACTGTATGACCATAGTCGTTTACATCTTTAAAACAGGTTTGTGTGAACAGGAACTCTCTATCAAACTGTTTCCCAATATGACCCTCTCGCCAAGTTCCGATTGAGGTGTCGGAGGTTAACCGCGAAACGCTATCCAAATATCCTCCACGAGAGTTCGCGCTCAACCACATCACAGAATGCAAGATATAGAAGGGGATGGGACGAACAGAACCTTAGAACCAAGGTTCCAGGACCGATGGAGTTTCTGGGATGGCCCCTCACGGAGGTTCTATTACGCGAAGCCTTCGCCCGTTGTTCGGCTGGCTCTCATAGTCTTTCATGGTCTATACTAGAGTTATGAGAGTCTAAAACGTCTCTTAGGGCTTATTCAATACCAATTGGACAGCCTAACCGATCTTTCTTCCCCCCCTCTTTCCGTTTCTTTTCAATCTACACGTCAACATGTCCTTGCCGGGATACATATCTGATGGGGGAGGGGGGGGTGGCAATCGAACTGGCGCCGACCGAGCGCTCCTCGCTGCGAAACACCATCCAGGAGCAGCAGAAGGTTCCCAGTTGGAACCGATTCCTGAAGAGCAGTCTAAAGACGTGCAAATTTACCATTTCAGGTAATAGTATCATATTTCCGTCAGTTTTCGTCTACTAATGAGAAATGGACTCTGATCAAAAGGCTGCACCAACGATTATCCTTGGACAAGGCCCTCGGTCACATAGCATAGCCTAGCAAATGACGGCCCTGGCCACTAGATGCTTGGATAGATGGCATAAAACTGTCTGTCGGATGAGTTAAATAAACTATAAATCTTGTCCTAGAAACCTGTACCATCCGGTTACGGTAGTTGTTGGGGCTTCGTGCAGACGTATTAGTCCACTCATGTTGGCGGGAGACGGAGAAAAGAGGAAGACACTTACGAGACCAGAAGTTATCACTGACCAGGGCTGATCCGGTTTATCTTGCACTTACCGCAATTTCCGCATCCCATGCGAAACTCCTGTTTCTTTTCTTCTCTCCATTGACAGTTCTTCTGGTTACAAGGGGGTGTACCGGCATATACATGTTTTTTACCACAAGAAAAGGAAAGATATAACGTCCAACACATGGTTTGTGATCCTAAGTTTTGGAGACCATTAGTCATAATGACATTATAAGAAGCGATCAGTATCTAGAGAATTACCCTCTAAATGAGAATCGTCAGTAATTGCAAAATACAAGTTCAAACGATCGAGCGATATACTGGATATATAAGTTCCCGGATATTAGAGGCCCAGCCAACTCAGATCTCCGCGCTCCTAGCACAACGCAACCTGATACTGGCCACCACAGGCGCAAAACAAACAACAATCGAGCTTCCTTTCTTCCACTCTTTTCCAGTCCTCTCGTATCGTGGTCGTCCAATTGTTTACCGAGTGGATGGCGGCGGAGGTGGTGCTCCTGGTTTTTTCACGCCTGTGGTGTCGTATGCACCTCGGCCTGGCCTGCCTTTTCGAATGTTCCGAGTTGTCATAGCTTGCCTAGATAGTAAGCATTATGATGTTATCCCTCTCCGGAATCGAGGAATCGGGGAAATACTGTACAACGGGCTCTGCATGCATGTATCAAGCGGTATTGTAGACGAATAGCGGTCAACCTTATGTAGATACCGTGAGGGTACTTGCAATAATTGCTCATTAGGGGGGCGTGGTTTTATTGGCTTATCCGGAAACCCGGCACAATTCCCTGAGTCAGTAACTTCGCAGGCTGCCTTGTCTTATGGCACAGAGCCAGCCACAGTAGGGCCAGGGCGCAACCTAATCAAACTCGATGCAGGTAGAGTGATCTAGGCCAGCAATAAGCTAATTCTGCGAGAGGGAACTTGTACTGAACCGCTAGTATAGGATAGCATTATGTCTCGTCATGTACGTTTCCCACCGCAGTAAGTTCTAGCAATCGCTGTCTCTTATCGGAACCTCGTCTGTTACTCCTTACCATTCCCAAGCACTTTGCACATCTCCCATGACCACATTAACTACATCAGATGCTCCCGTGGATCACACCCGTCCCTATTCGACATGCACAGTAGTTTCCTCTGAGATATATAGGAGGGCTTTGTTCCATCCAACTATTTTTCGAGCCATTTCGGGCCATCTGATCCATTACAGACTGAGACATCTTGGCAACAATGCCTGCAGTCTCCCCATGTCATAATCCTTTGAATTACGTCTTGTACCTGAAGGGGATTTCCTTACCACTGATTGACGAATAGCACGCTCTTTCAATGATAGTTCTAGTATAGAGCAAACTTTAATCGGTATGCGAATGGGGAGAGATAGTAGCTGATTCGAGGTCTGGTTAGCCTCAAACCCAGGCATACGGCGAACTTCACATGCATTGTCAACTGGGAATAGCAAGTCAGCAAGCACTTCAAACTGTCTTTGGAGTGCTGTTCTCCTGCTCAGTGGAACAAGCGCCATGTTTGTGTTGGAGTCAACTTTCCTTTGCGGTATCCCCTCTTTGGGGGGATTATACTTATCCCAAAATATGACTAGCGCATACGGTTCCCTAAAGGATTTGAGTTCCATCGTCCGCCATCTATACGCAGCAATTCGTAATATTCTGCAATGCGATCGGTGGTTTCTAGAAGGTTACAGAGTGACTTGGAAGACGCATTTAGAAACCCCTGTGTATTAGACACAGAAACTCTTGCCCGTGTTGGTTAGGACTCAGTCATGACGCTGCGGTGTCCACTCTGGGCTTCTTTTTTCAAGTTAGTGCCATACTGTATATCTAATGTTCAAAGACAACACGTGGATACTCGCTAAATCCGAGCCGATACCTACGCCCTAAATACCGGGAACTAGTTTTGTGTATTCCTGCGAGTCGGGCCTAGTGGGTAACGACCTACTGAGTAAAACATCCATTTTTAATTGAGCACTGTACCGTTCACCATGTTTTTCTATCAGTTCGCTCCTAGCATTACGCAATTTCAATGTCTACTAGTCTCCTGGACATTTTAGGGGGGAACAACATCTTGTGCGAGCTTGGGCAGAGTAGGCTGCTTGGGGAGTCTTCTCACATACATATACCATACGAGTTACTCTGTTATATGATAGGTTAATATCGAACTTCGGCCTTGGGCTGAGATTTCTGAGCAGAAAACCTATGCTGAAAGAGGCTTAGCCTGCCCACGCGCTATTTCATTATACCTGTCATTATTGGTATGCCATTTTCCACTAAGAATCAACCGAGTTCTGAGGCCGGACCCCCTTAATCGACGGATCGATCATCTTCATTAAGCCCTAGTGGTTAATTCAGCCCTTTCCGCGACAAAGCTATTAGGCCACGCCTGGCGATCCGTGCGAGAAAGGTTTTCACCATGACTCGAGTGAGATTTGGAGCAGGCATAGATAGACACATACTCTTCCTATTTCTTTTGATAACTATATGGACTAGGACGCGCAGCAAGGATGTCCACACCGACCATGCAGTGGTGATAAGATCGCGCGTTCATGGTCGCAGCCTTGCAGTCAGTCAACCTGTTATACACCTATGGCACTGGACAATCTGCGGCACCACAATTCGAGTCTGTTTAAATATAGGTACTTCAACCCTCCACATTGATGGAAGAGTCAAATTACTCCGAGTGCTACAAGGCAAAGTCTAGTGGCACTGATAATGCCGATTGCACGCATATTTTGATTCCGCTAATTACGCCCCTTGGAAGGCACGGGAAGTAAGTGGAACAGTAACAGAACGTCAAAAAATAAAATGAGTGTAGTCTTGAGGAGCTCTGAGCCAATCAAGTTCTACGTCATCGTATAGTATAACACACCGCAGGTTTATTGCCATGTCATGTGCTAGGGTTGCTGTACCATTCTCTTGCGTATCAGTCGATGTGATTGGCTTCGTTGCCGCCAGTCCTGCAGGACAAGGAGATTAACCCAATGGCGCTTGCATATAAGACCGGAGAGCGTACCTGGCAGATTTCGCATGGCGTGTCAGGTAGAGGGCCCAGATCAACGATTCCCTTTCTCTCGGCAGCAAAGAAATTCAGAATTCTGTTGACTATTTGTGGCAGAAGTCATGGTCTGTGATTACCAGGGCAACTGCTTTAACAGTAAGCATGATCAATTTTGGTCCTCCCGGCATCGCTGTGATCTGACAAACAGGCAAAAGTCGTCGAGGGTCTCTCGAAAAGCACAGAAATCCAACTAAACGATGATCATGCCGTTTTCCATTATTCTGAAGATATTTTCTCTAGGTTACCGTTGAATATCTTTCAAATGATACAGGAGGCTTGGCTTAATGATGCAAAGATCAACCTTCACCATGAACGCCGCCTAGTACGCGAGAGTGTGTTATGACCAACAACTCAACTGTGTTTCCATAGCTCACTACCAGATTCTCAGCACAAATCCGCCACTTAGTCGGAATCCTACTTCGAAGTGATGCCAAATATCTACGGTTTATACTTGACCAGCTGAAAACGGACCACTTGTGGAGGTTTGGAAGAATGGTGGAGCATGTGCTCGATATACGTGATAGACAGGATGCATACCATAACTGCCCCTCTGGTATGTGACGATATTCTGGTTATGATTCGCGGTAGGGCTCACATAGATGTCTGAAATAGACAACAATACAACTATTCCAATCCGGCATCTGCACCTTCCTCTGCTCACCCCTGGCACACACACTTCTACGATTTCGGATCAGAGTATAGTCGACCTTGGACAAACTATGCTGAGCGCTGCCCCAAGCTCGGATATGGATCAACCTAACCAATATTGCACATTCTATAGCGAGCAATTTGGGAAACTTAGATTCTGGTCACTGGAAAAAACAGCCTGGGCGATTATACAGTATATTGAGCCGACTAAGGCTTCCACATATCCGTATGGAGGGAAAGGACCGGGGTGGTGGCCACTATATGTGTCTCACCAACGTCCTCGATACCTCAAAAAAGAAGGTTAGTTCGACTGCCCGGCATTCGTTACCAGCTCTAACACCCCCAAAGGCACGATTAAGTTATTGCTTTTCTTGTTATGCGAGTTATACCAGCAAGGGCTTAGAATAATCCATTGGAAGGATGCTATGCGCTCAGTGTCACTTGATGATCAGAGTCATACAATACTCGAAGGGATATTCTATCTCCGTGAAATCGAGGAAAAGCAGCTTGAGGAATGCTCTAGTGAGTACAGTAGCTTTGAGGCTATCCGTATTACCGTAAAACATTCAGCTTAGATTTATTTTGTACAGGCAAAGCACATCAAGACACTAGTCGCGAGGATCCCAAGCAGAGTCCCGAAAGGAGACGGCGGACAGAGGGCAGTCGTGTGTTCACAGACTACGTGTTACTCGCAATTACTGAAAGTGGAAAGTACATTCGATCGAGTACCATTAGCTTTCGGGACGTGATAGATATCAATAGTGAGAAGAAGTTCAGATTGGAAGTCATTAAAAAATCGGATGAGGCAAAGTAAGTACTATGGAGGGGGTGTTAACACGTTAGGGAATACTCACCGTACTTAAGGGCCCATACCCACACAGAAAGTGATACAGCTTGCTCGAGAGTGCTCAGTCTCAAACAAGGATGTTCGCTTCTGTCCCGAAGAGAGCACAAATGCCAAAGCACAATCTTATGGTAGGTAGCATGCAAAACCCAGATGAGGAGCACCTAACATATAGTACAGGGAAGCACGAGACGTCAAAGGAAGTAGTTTCTATGTCCATTACTAGGGTGGCGAAAGTAGAAACCATGGCTCATAACCGCCGCAGCTCTACCCAATATGCACTGCAGGGCAAACAGTGTGAAAGATGCAGAAATCAAAGTACTCCTCTGTGGAGAAACGGTCCTAGGGCTGCAAGGGAACTCTGCAATGCTTGCGGGATCAAATGGGGAAACGAGCGAAGACGAGAAATTCGGGAAAAGCGACGTCAAGGTAATTAGTCGTCTCCTTAGCGTTCAAGATCCTGAACTTAGGACTATGCCTCTGTTGGCTGCGAGAATGTTGGGCTGCGCCATGGTAGCGCGAGGACGAGCACACAAAGCTATACAAAGATATTGGAAAACAATCAGGGAGTGTTCAGTAGCAGACCTTGATGGTTCTCCGAAGAATCGTGCTAGATGTGTCCTGCTATGCTGTATTAATAATTATATCTTGTTACAATGAACATCAAGTATTCCTTTCTATAGCTCACCCAGTGCCACACAGAACCTTGGGCCCAGTTGGGTCGAGTATCCACACGTACTGTGATCACTGATTCGTAACGTCACTTGAACTCGTCAATGCCCAATACAGCTGTGATTCCCCTCATGTCCCGCTTCCTTATATCGGCCTTATATCGGCCGATCCATCTACCATTAGCTCACCACGGAGGGTCAACGAAACATGTAGGTTTTTCCGTGCAGTTATCAACAGGTCTATAGTCGTAAATCATGAATTTTTTTTCATTCATTTTTTAATAAGGTGGCTAGAACCCCAAATGTTGAGAGTTTGAGGCTACTTACGTTCTAGATCGAAGCTTTTAGTTACGTGGCTCGAAGACAGGGAATGAGAAAGACAGCTAGTGATGTGATCTAGGCCCGTGTGGGCTGTGACATTGCCTACCAGAATTGCCTCTGTAGTATATTTCATGGTACAATATCAGCAGGTACATCGATATCCGGTGATTTAACAACAGAATTAGTGCTGCTTGTTCAATCTAATATCGGATCCCAGGGCACTGTGCCGACCCCGGAAACGACGCTGCAGACTGCTTAGCTAAGGAGGCAGTGGACGTGCGAGGGATGCTCTATTCTTGGACCACCAAGAAAGGCCAGGTGGCCGAACATTGCATATGAAATTGTCATGCTACCCGACTGTGATAGTGCTTCAGCTGGGCGGCTAACTAGATTGGTTGTCAGATCTGCTTCGTTTAACTCTGGCCAGCCATATCAGCCTTTTCTCTCAATACAACTTAAGAGCCAGTAACTCGGTAGCACGTGTTGCAACGGTAATAAAGAAGTCGGGGCGGCTATACTGAAATTGCAGAGCAAGCTCTCAGGCAGTTCTTTGCAGCCGGATTAATTACGGGTAATACCAGGGAAGAAGACGACTAACGGAGCATTTGCGTTGAGACGAAAAGAGCAATTTCTCGATGTGAATTGCTGACTCGCCACCAACGTATATTCTTCGAATGACCCCGCTACTTGCCTTCTGAAATTTCAGAATATCAGCGCAATTCTCTTGCGCCTTTCTGCTTCATCCGTCGATTCCGGCGACTAACTAGTCACGGAATTCACTGCTTTCCTACATTATTTTGGCAAGTACATAAAGCCTGCTCTGAGAATACTAGGCTTCACTGTCTTATGCATCAGCTCATATCGGCTGCAGGTGAGCTTTTCATGATGAGCCCGAAACGGCTTGAGAATATACCCGCTGATATCAGCTTCGATCCTAGAGTCGGTCCTTAAACTTTGACCATTGCCATTATCTCCGATTTGGGTGGGTGCTCTATGGATCAACTTGCTGATTTCCTGCTCAGTGCGCACTGGCAGCAAACGGGCCAGAACACGTACTTTTGCGATGATCCGGGATTGGACACTATCAGGATAAAAGTTGCCGAGCAACTCCCTTCCCAGTTGAAGGGTTGCGGGCTGCAGGCGTGGAAAATTAAGGGAACAATAAAGATGGTCGAGCCAAAGGGATTTATTCAATCAGTGTCGGGAGAAGGCGCTATTGTTGGCGGCCAGAGTCTTACGCCAGAATCGAAGCCTGTCTCATTGAGAGGGGAATTATTCTCACAGGCTCGTTTTATTTCATTTTGGCCATTCCAAATCATCCAATTTCCACATAATACGTCAGTTTATACCTCTGTGTGCCTAAGAGTATTTGCGTTTGACATGAGGCTATTTGACCATGCAGACTAGGATATGGGTATTATATGGGGCTGGGGTTTTGCAAATCAGTCTAGGATGTATTGAGGGAAGTCTGAAGACACCATTATGTCCACTGCGGCATTTTCGGATCCCGAGTAAGTTAAACTGTTGGCCATCCATCGCCGCGGGTAAGGAATATTGAGGGGATGTGGATGGCACCACTGTATCGATAGAGGCTGGCAGGATGAATTGTGGAAATGTACAAGGATGCATAGTCGCAATTTCGCCCAAGTCAACTTGGTCTGATAGGAGGAGGTTCTGTGAGACCTCAGAATTCGAAAAATGCGCCAAATCTCCAGCTTGTTGGGGCCGAGTTGTCCCTGAAGATGTTTGATCATTTCTGATGGCATTGTGTATCGGCCCTGCGTGGTTAATACTCGGTGGAGAAACCAGTGCCTTAGATATTTTTAGATTGATATCAGCTTAAGTTAGTAATAATATCTTTACCATATGGTGTAGAAGATATACCGGCGGCCGAAGTCTGCCGCAAACTATCCCAGCTTACAACATCGATTCGAGGGCGTTCGCATTCTCAACTTTGTCTGCAATGAACAGGGTCTAATGGATTCTGGTAGGTCATCTTACAGTCTCCGAGATTATGAAACGACGAAAGCAAACATTTCGTGAGCATGTCTGCTTTCCATCCAGTGAAAAGACATTTGAGAGGCGATTGGCTGATATGGGTCCCATGAGTAGGAAATAGACGCCCGGGGGATTTGACTAGATGACTAGAAATGAAATGATGTCAATAGCCAGACCAGCAAATTCTTATTCATTCTCCACTCAGCTTTCCCCCCAACCTGCGTCTTTGTATCCTGCTAGCCGCCATTCCCGCAGCGATGAACCATTGTATCTTGGCGGACTATACAACCCATACATGAGCTCAGATGTAGAGAGGCACAGCAGGACATGACTCCCTACGGCCCATCCCTGGCGGCGTTTTTCCTTAGCTTTTATGTTGCACCTTTCTTGGTGCCCTTGTTTCTTTCCTTTTCCATTTGATGGGGTGTTGCCTTTTTTCTCTCCCCTCCCCTTTCTTCTAATATATATATATATATATATCTATATATAAAATTACTAATAACACATGGGATGTGAAGGTAGTCAGCGTTCTCATCTGAGGAATAGGGTTTCTATCCAACCGTGTCCTGGATCAAGACGGGAAATCACCTGGAATAACAGGGTTGGTAATTCTTTATACGAACAAATAACAAAAATTTGCCGACTCGCAATCATAAGTCTGATACGTAAAACAAGACTAAATCCAAACTCTCGCGCATTCCTCTACCAGATCCACAGTAGGCGACATCTGGTGAAGGTTTGTGCTAATACAAAGTGACGGTAAATTCAGCTTCCGGGAAACTTGATACCTCATATGGGCTAGTCCGTAAATCGTCCCAACACAGGCTCTGGAAAAAAAAACGACGGAAAAGAAATGTGAATTTTTCGTACTAGTGAGACCAAACTCTATTATGCTCAGTTTACGTTAAGACTCGCTACAGTAAATTGAAACTGTTTTCCCTTATACAGCGTTATAGTACTTCCACGCTTGGAATACCTCTACGGAGGGGACAAACCAACAACAAAACTAAATAGCTCTGCTTCTCCAGCATATTTTTAAACGATCATGCAGTGGAGGGAAGCTCATCGAATGTATAGTAATAGGAGCTACCCTCTTGAGGCATGAGCCGGTTTCAGTGAATTTAGGGTTCGGCAAATTTGGACTTCAACCCTCCGATTTCTGATCCAATGGTCGTGTACGGAGCCACTCGTGGTCAACACATGATGAAGTATCAATTGTTTCAAAACTTGGAGCTCACTCAGAAGTACATACATCCGGCAGAATGATTCTGGCCGAATTACTGCCCAGTATCATACCAGATGGTATGCTCTGCTTCAAGAGAGATCCAGCAATTGAGAAGCCCTACTCTACATTGTAAATGACTGGGATTGGAGATATTCATATGAACGGTTTGGACCGGAGTGAGGACATCAGGCAACGTCAATTACAAGGAAAGCAGAATATTCAGCAAGGTTCGCGTAAAAGTGCATCCTCCACCATTGCGTCCACCATTGCGTTGTCAATAAATCAGACAACCAGTATACTAGGATCAAACCCAATTGATCAGTAACCCTGGTCGCATAAACCGAGGATTGGCCTCAACCAGTGGTTTGGCGCCTTCCAGATCTTTTATGTTGAAGCCAGCGATATCAGCATTGGAATGAGCAGTTGAGGGGCAGGACTCGTGAGCGGACATGCTGTGGCTGGGAGGATGCAGAGGGATTTGTTCTGGGCAAGGCAACCCGACGAGACGGAGTGCAGTTGGCCGCTTCGAAACCGGCCCGCCGCTATCGATTCTGAAAATCAATTATAATCTGTAATTGACCAGTAAGTAAGGACCATTGATCAGCTGCGTACATTAAGGATTGGGTAGAACTACTACCAAGCGATTAAATACTCTATACCATAGCTACTAGCTCATACTTGAATTGGCCGGCAGCCAGCTAAAACCAATCTGAGCGTACTTCTTTGCTGAATATTTCAAGGTCAATCCACTTGATAGTTGCAACCATCACCAGGCGTCACACCATGGAAGAGACTCAGGTCTTAAAGGAAATAGAGACCGATCTTAATGCTCTACATATTAAAGAGAATAAGACGAAAGGGAAGCCCTACTAGTGGCGCTCACGATTCTCTAGACCCTGGCCAGAAAAATCAGGCAATATGGCCGTGTCAGCATGAAAACAAAACCAAAATTGTTAAAACTCCAAACTAAGCCATTGCTTGTCAATGCCTCATCTTTTCCCTTTCTTTTCTTTTTCGTTGATAAATATCAAATCTTTTACTGATCCATAGAAGAGAAGCACAGGAAAGATTAAATCCATCCTGGACTCAATCAGGCGGTCCATAGACCACATTGAAGGAAATTTTGAATATCTCAATCTGGATGTTGGTAGTTGACGCTATTGCTGCACCGGAAAACACAGTTGACAAGATAAGGAAATTCGGCTGCATAACAGCTGCTTGAGACATTGAGACCAGAAAGGTCATAACAAGAGCCTTTCTGGGATCGTGGAGGCGCATCCACCACTTCATGGCAAGGGATTAAGGAATTGACGCTGTTACACAGGTATTCCATGTGGTCCGTATGCGAAACCGGGCGACGGTGACCACGTATTTGTTCGGCAACTAAGAAGTCAAAGGTTTGCTCTTGGGTGGTCGTAACATGTGCCCATATAAATTAGCTGAAGCTCGAGCGCCTTTGTACGCCCCACCAATGTCTGATTTTCTTGCTGAAGACTCCTGAGCTGCTGCTGGGAAATCTGATTCTGCTTCCGAAGGCTTAGCACCAGCTGCTGCAGCTGCATGCAGCGGATCTGGGGTGTCAGGTACTCCGACAGCTGGCGTGGCATCTTGTTCTCTTGGCGAAGTAAGGACATGATGATCGAGACCATGTAGTCAATGAGGAAGATGGCAGCTTGAACAATTTGTTCCTTGGACTCCGGTAGGCCCTTGGAAGGGTTCCAACCAGCTTGCTCCAGGAAAGAATCATGAATGCGGCTGTCCAGCTCACGGTGCAGCTGGCTGAGGTTCTTTCGTCGGTTTCCCTCTGCAATTCTGTGCCTTTCCCTCTGGTCGTCCAAACCCGCTAGAGCCATGCTGGCCTTGCGCTTCCGCCCGCACTGCTGCTGCAACGGCGGCTTGCGGTTGATGTTCATGGGGGCAATGAGACTCAAAAATTGAGGACAGGAAAAATCTTGCGGCCACATGAACGCCTCCTGAGACTCGTCGGATTCCGGCAGGGAACTCTCCGCTGAGCTTGCCGATGGTTCAATTGCCACAACACGCTCTTCCGCTCCCGACCATGTTGATCTAACGGGGCAGGTGAGCTGAGTTCTTGAAGCGCTGGTGGCATTGGCGTTGGCATTGGACGGGTCTAAGGGTCCGCGGGGCAAGGGCTTCACGCATGGAAGCGGGGGCAGACGACGATCCTCTCTCGTATTTGTCATACTCGGTAGGATGGACAGGAAACGTACACTGTAAGATGCGTCAAACGTCAGAAGCTGCATCTGTTGGTAAGGTTCGCCGGCGACTTACGGGACGGCACACCGTCCAGAGATGCCGTCAGCTATTGAGCACACGCCTTCGTACATTACGGTGCTAAGAATTCTTGCGTGTAAATTTGAGGATGGGACGTATTGCAGCCTCAGAGTTATAAGTCAGATGTTTGGCTATATGCAGAAAGGAAAAGTGTGTCTCCGATATGTACGTCTGCTCCGGCGCGGGATTATTTGGCCTGATGCAACAAAGTACACCACCGGAGACCAATGATATAATTCAGAAATGTAGATGATAGTAGCAGTGAGACTATAATGGCCACAATGACGCTGATACAATTCAAAAGGAAGGCACGGTAAACAACGAAGAGACTTGATAGGACTTACTGGTCTTTCACTCTCAATATATATCATTTTGTTTTTCTACCTTAATTTTTTTTCATATTTCTAATTCTTGTGACTTCCCCCTTTCTATGTCTATGTCCTCGCTTTATCTACGTAGTGTTAGCCGTCACCTCCATCTGAACTTTGACCTTCTGCGCTTTTACCTCTTCTAGCTGTCAGCTCCACTGCTTCATCATCATACCTTCCGATTGAGGAAACGCCGGAGTGCATAGACGGCCTTCATCATAGTTCAACCCTTCATCATGTAGTAGTCTGCCTCCAAAGCTTCATCACAGTAGGGCCAGCTATCGAGATGGGGAACAGTCGCCAGGCCAGTGCTGGATCGGCGAATCGACGTGCCATGATCTCGCGAGAGAGTCAGATGCGGGATCGCGGCCACTTGATTCGTCACTGCCGTAGTGTTTTGCGATCTACATGGGTTAGAAGGCATCCACCCTCCTTGCGTCGCGCTTATCAATAGTCTCCTTGGGTTAATGGCCATGGGCGACCACTCAGTTTACATCTCGGATCATGGCCAAAGCATCGCCGTATCCACGAAACTTTTACGGCACCGAGGCCGATAATGTCACTGTCCGATAAAGGTCAATGTAGGATTTTGAAACGCCGATTATAGCCCCGGGAGGATCAGATAGAACCTAATAGCACGAAGCAAGGGTATCTTAGTAGGAAGCCGACAGTCCTCAACACTTGGAAAGGATCTCTAGAGAGACAATGGGCAGAAGCATCTATCACAAGCCACCACACTGCTGGCCTATCTTTGTCGGCCATAAATGAAATGTCACCTGAGTGCATACAGCATAATCATTGTGTCCATGAGACCTTCCTTCGACTATGATATAGTGTCATAGTGCTCATGCCTCTAACAGGGCATATGTATCTGAAAGGTCACTTGAGCACATCTCGGCACCAACAAAGACCAGTCCAACTACCCAACAGATGTTATTCAGGCTCTCATTGTTTGTTAGCGAGCTGGGAGGCCTGGAGATCGAACAAGGAAACGTGAAATTACTTTTTTACGATAAATATGATCATTAGGTAACAATTTTATCAAGCAGACAGTACTTCATCTCCCGACTGGCTGGATACAAGGTCGATCCTGCATTTGGTAGATGTAGACGGAGTAGGTGTGGGTTGGAGCATGCTTGTGCAGGATGTCGGTCTTCTTGGCGGGATGCGCTACGGCCAGGCTGACCCTCCAGCCCCCAGCATCAGCTAAGGCCACTAGGAATCTTGTCCGCCTACCACAATAACATAAGATATACCCAGAACATCGAAAGTCATTTGCCCGATGGACGCTATTCACTCCCGTACCCTGGTGGTGTAACCCCGCTTTCTTACTAGTCCAGAATGGTACAATTTTTTTCCAGGGGGGTTTAGACCTCACGTCGGCGACCTGATGTCAGATCCAAACATAATCAGGGAAACGCTGGATGGGGCTCGTAGGCTCGCCCAGCCGCCTTGGTCTCTCACTTCCTGGCCAGATTCCAGAACTGCTGTTTAAGCGTTGATCGACTCCCACTTGCCCAGAAAATACCTCGCAAATGCCGCCAGGGACAGGTCCAGTTTCCAGCACTGGTTAACATGCGGCCGGGTGCTGGTCAAAGTGTAATACACCCCTCACCGCATCAATTCTACGATTGTGATAGCGGCTTGGTCAGCATGCTGCCCCACCATTGCCTCATTTGCAAGAAGCATGAAGCGATGAGTGTTGCATTGATCCCCTCCCATTGCCCATGATCGCAAAAAATGGCCCAATAAAGCCAGCTATCTATCGACAGGCTCGCCGTGCGTGACCTGCGTACAAAAATCGTATCTCAGGATGTCTATGGAGATCCTAGACTTGTAGAAGGCTCACTGGAAGATGGCATGGACTAATCCAATCCACATTCGCAAGCTCAATGGGGTAAGAAAACCAAGTTGTTACGGTACCCTACGGTATTCCACCCATTCACGCTAGACTGAAATGGTCAAACGTTTTATGTCAAAATACGTTCCGTATATGAATAATCTTGAGGATGGCCCCTGAATAGTCAATGGGGTTTAGATTTGATTTGTTTGATGATATCCATCCCAATTACAATGCCTCTTGATTTCTCATTTCGTTCCTTGCGGAGGGGAGAATATTCGGCAATTCATCCTCAAAATCCCGTTCATCGTTCAACGTCAACGACATACAGTCCAATCCCGGGCTTTTGTTGAGGACTGATACAAAGCTTACATCACTATAAACGTCTCGCAACCGCATCTCTATAGAAACTCCCAATGGCATCATTGCTCTCAAGTAGTAGTCATATACCGCCCCCCCCCCAATCTGGATCTCCAGAAAGGCTCAAAGATCTCTTCAGTTCGTCGCTCACGATAGGCAACCCGCGATTCGGGTTTCAATCCCAATATCTGCCAGAGGTGTCCGACATACCCTGAATCGGAGCACATTGCACCTTGTGCCAGACGGCCTATCAACCTTTAGTAAGACAGTCCTAGCCCCGGGGAAATTGTACTGAGATCATCGCCGGAACGGGGAAGGAGCGTAGGATTATGGATTTTATTCCACCGATGTCGTGAACAGCGAGGTTGTGCCTCTTTTCCCTGATGTTGACGCAGAAGTATATTTGGCTGTGTTCCAAGACCAATTCCGTAGCGAACCGAGGGTGGAAGAAGTGAAGACATAATCGGGCAAGGTAACTTAATGTGAAACGGTAAGTTATCCGTTAGATTATAAATGGTATTGTGCAGATTCAAAGAAGCCAAACAAACAGATAGGTTGGGGGCATCGCTTTCTTTCTAGACCAGGTTTGCTTTTCTCTCACGTCATTGAGCCCGAACATGATCTCCATTACGTTTGGTAATCGTCTAAAGGTCTCTGGAATAGTGTGCCCAATGAGACGGGCGTCTTCCGAATCTCCCCCCTGTCGAGGAGGAGAACTTTAGCTAACATTCCAACTGGGCTAGTCAGCCTTTAGAGTTGCTCGAGATTTCAGGGTCGCATCTCTTACGGATAGGACGGCTCGCCAGCCTACAGCGGGGCGGCAGTCCGACTCGCATGTGGCCCCGTCTCTCTATCAGTGTATTGGACTCTCATGCTACAGTAACAGCAGGCCAGGGGCAGCATCGGCTTTGTGCTTTCGGAAGTGATTCTTGGTGACTCCCGTCGTAGCGTGTTCGCATTGGAAGGTATGGATCTATTTCCGCCGTGGGTTGCCTAGCAGTACTGTACAAGGCTATGACCATTTTGATTGAGCAAACCCATATCCCTCTGCTAGGCATGTGAGTTTGCCGCCGGTGCCAGCCCGCCGGTGGCACCAACAGGTTCTCATGGGGGCGGCGAGGGAGGTCATCCAGGACCGTTACATACAATCTAGGAAGTCGAACATCCGGTCCATTTTCTTTTGCCCCCCACCCCACACCCAATTTGGTGTTCCTTTCCCAGGTTGTAACAAGCCCGTGTTGATCAGCGAAAAGGCGATGACCCAGTGTAACGTGAAAGCTGTCTGATGAGACTGTCGCAAAGCATAAAGGGGAGATACCTGAGAATAAGGACAATTTCGGCAAATCCTCCATTGAGGATCCCGCGCAATGTCAGATCCACACATTGCAAACTTTTAATTTTACGGCCAAAGGTCATAAACCCCTGTATCGTTACCTATCGTCAGTACTCCGCCTTTCTTGTATTGATATGAAGGCCTTCATTATGGGTGACCAATTCCAATTCAATTGTCTCTACCACATTGCCGCCCTGGCTACATGGCCCTTTCGCAACAATTTTTCCCCTCACGAAGCAGCGCCAGCTCCCGCATTACATCAGTATATGCCTGTCACCTAAGACAAAATAAAGGTAAATTCAAGATTGTGGCCTCGATGGTTCAGAGGCTGAGGATGTACTAGCAGGAGAAGGCGCGCCACACCTTGGCGTCGCATTCTGCGTCTTTGGCTTACGGACATGATGGAGCCCCATTTCACTGAACCAGATGTAGCTAGAGGATGTGATTTAGTGTAGACAACGTATTCCTTTATCTTGGGATCGACAGACCAGGTTACCCTGCAGCAGGCTGCACCAACATTATCTCTCGAATGCAGCTATTTATAGGCTCTCAGAGCCGAACAGACACTGGTCACTACTGGATAAGCTTGGTAGAGAACACTAGTTTTAGGCGATGTTAATCAGACCTTGCCCCGTTGGTCCCCTCCCGGCTTGGCCTGAGAAACGTTCCGTTCCCTTCTCCTTCGCCTGGCGACGTTCATTCCGCTTCCAGAGCCTTGTACCGAAATGAATGACGAGATTTGGTGAGATGAGAGAGGTCGGGACATTATCACAGATGCCCGCTCACTCTTTTGTGCAGGCGGTGATTTTCCTGGTCTTGATGCTTTACTTGTTCCTCCAGCTTTCTACGGCTCTCCGTCAGCTCGAAGTCACATAAAAAGGCCGCTGACTCGCTTGGTAGCAGCCACGGAGATAGTTTAACCGGACTCTAGTTTCAAGGCTTGAAGATACAGATCAGAACAGTTCGAGGATGAATGCTGACCGGGTTTGGGATATCATAGGACGGGACTTACTCGCAAGGCGGCGACGTGAGAGCCCTTTTACCAGCCTCGTCACTGGGATGCTCACGACGCTCGATTGTGGCCAGACTGTCGACGTCCTAAGTCCAATATCTCTCACTTTCGTCGATTTCTCGGTTAATATACTCTCGTCCGAGACAGCCTGGAAGTTCGGTCTTCTGTCGTCGGGCGGAGACGATTCCGTAGGGTGTGAGACATCTGACATGATACCTGAATGCGGCTTCCTTCCTATCAATGCCAGTACTCTTCGAAGCTCGTTCAGTCATGAACGCGGGTTTTAATTGTTCGCTGAGGATATGAGTGACGCTAGGGGAATCGAGATTTCGGTGAAAGTTTCCTTGTATGTGCCCCGAAAACAAGAGGCCCCTGCCTAGGACGCACATGATGCTTTAGAAAGGTTGGCTGTCTTATGGACTTGAAAGCAAGGTGACACCACGCGCCAGCCCTGTGCGAAACGGTCCAACTAATGCAGGCCCGAAGTTGAAGGTAACATTGAGGCCATGGTCCTAGGCATGGGCAGACCAGGGACTGACTGTTACCTCGCCGACACTTGTGGCACTCAACGATGACCGACCAGGGACTGGCCAAACTATGTGCAGTCGGGCTAACTTGCCTGCCCGCAACGCAGAGAATTTGGGGCTTGATTCCCTGACCCGAGTTGTCGGATGGTCAAGAGACGGGTTGACTTCATCCATGGAACCGAAACAAATAGATAGCATTAAGCAAGAAAACATGGAGCCCATAAAACAATTACAGGCTATCTAAATTCGGCCCTCCAACCTCTTATCGCATGGTACAGATGAACTCAGTATGCTCTTCACACTAGAAGCCGCAAGAGATATTTTCAACAAAACGCTCTGGGTCCAGGATTCTTTCCGGATCGATAGTGTTTGACCCTGATAACGCCCCTAATCTTCCTGTGGTATTCGGCTCCCGCTCGCCTCTTGGCCACACGAGCATTTGAAATTGATAATCTGCGTGATCGATAGTCCGTATGTACGGACGGAGTACTTCCCAGATCTGATTGCGAAACCGTCTGAGGTTGCCGAGGGTGCACTCCACGCGCGTAAGGAAGAATGGCGAGATGGCGACCCATTCGAACGTGTACTTGTGGACGACCGTAAGGTGCATTTCTAACCAATCGACGCGGTAGGACAGCATGGCAGAGGCATAACGAAAGATATCCTCGGGGTGCGTAAGCGGAGATAGGATACTGGGCCCATTCCAGATCAGAAATTCGGGGTCATCATAACAAGAGGACAGGTAGCAGTCAACGGCCACGGTCTCATATACGCAGGGTAGCTCTTCGTCACTGCGCTGCAAGTTGATCGTCTCCATGTCGGGCAACTATTCGGCTCCTTCGATAATGGTGTGTGTATGTGATGATGAAATTTCACAGACAGCGCGCCTTCTGGATCTGCGCCCCGTAGGGCCTCCCAATTAGTAGGTGTAGACTTGGTGGGTTCAGAGTCTGAACATATGCTCTTATATGATTTAAATTGCACGTGTAGACAGTTCTCGCATGAATGGCCCTGAACTCGGCATTGAGAGAAAGTTGGATAGACGGGAGAATTGGCTGCCGTCCACATGCCATTTGTAGTGTCTTGAACTGTCGTGCTGGAAGAATCCGCCTCTGATAGCAGTATGAATTTCTTTCCTTGTCCCTTGAAAAGCTGAGTTAGGACAGCGGGCCAAGTGTGGTGGAACGTGAGTCAAACTATGCCGATCCCCCGGGGAATCAGCTGGGCAAAATGAAGGGGTATGAAAGACCAGCTGGGAAATTACCGTAAGCAGAGTTTTCTGCCGCGGTTATCAACTACTCATCTACCCATCACGGGCAGATTCCAGATCGACAACCTGCCGAAAGGATAACTCTGATGATGCTAGTAGACGGCACGATACTTGCCAAACTGACCTCAAACCTCTAATCTTGCTCGATACCTTCAAAGACACAGTCGCCAACCGATGAACCCTAGGAAATGAGATGGAGCTGCTCTGTGGGAGCGACGTCGTCGGGTGTAGACGGCGCCGTCAACGAATGGGTGGTTCTGCTCATTGCGACAATATGAACTGGCCGTATGGCAGTCTGGTCGGCAATTCGACCCCAGTAGGGGGCACACGGACAGTGGCCTGACAGAGCTCCGGTCGGGTGTTCTTGGTGCATGCGCCATCGCACGCTCCAAAGCCGCACATCGCAGGCGAACGAATGCTCGTGCAACGTTACACGCAACGACTTACCAGAGCAGAGCAGTGTCAAGCAGTCAAGCGTGAGGTCTGTGGCAGTCGTCTAATAAGGC